TTTTTCTTTTTCTTTTTCTTTTTTAAATCTCTTATTCTTGCTACTGATTTAATCGATGGGTAACATTGATTTGGTGCTACTCTGATAGATCTCCAATCGGTTTGCAAGGATACAGCCAATATGAAGGCTGCCAAGTCATCTAATATTCTAGAATATTCCACTTAGTTAGCAAAGGAGCAAAAGGGTTATAGGAATATAATAAAATGTCTGTAAATGTGATAGGGAGAATGGGGGGATCATTCATTCAAGGAATTGTTTAGAAAAGTGCGGAGAGATCAAGGCCTCTCAAATGCCTTGGAATATGTTTAAATTTCATGCCTTTCATTCCAGTTAATATCAATACAATTCCTTTATATTTATAATATACAATTCCAGTAACTACATAGACATCATCTTGCAGTCACATTACAATTTCAGTGTTCTATTCCACAAATTAGTGCATAACAGTTCTCTTTTGGTCTAGCTGTTTCCTTCCAGTAACAGTAGTAGTAACCAGAAGCTTAGAAACCAAAGCAATGCCAGTTTATTTTCTAGCAGCAACTAATCCTCTGCATTAGCAGCTAGAATCTGCAGTTTATCAACCATATCAGCCAGGATCCTAACAAATGGTATCAGAGCACTCGATTCTCGGACAAATGAAAACTAATTTTAACAGAGAATTAGAAGAGAGATGGGGCTCGATAATAAATCGGTTTCAGAAGTTGGTAAGGCAATGGGAAGAAGGATGCCGAGACGATAACTCTGGGCTGGATGCCCAAGGTCGACTTGTATTCTCCATATTCTATGGCGATAATACAGAGTGGTGGACTTCTAGAGCTGAGAAGATTTTCTGCTTATATCAGTTGTCGAAAGCAGAGAAAATGGAGGCTGCCACAGCGTATTTTGGCGGCGAAGCATAGGATTGGTTTCAACAGGTAGATCGACAATGATTGGTGCAAACTTGGGAAGATTGAAGATTTTTTTGTTGGATTGATTTCGAATCAGATAGGCCTCCATTGTTGAGGAACATCCAGCATGTGAGCGGTGGGGTGTGCGAAACTACGAGACAAAGGGGAAAGAACACCCATATCAATTGCAGGTGCCTTCGGCACCATTGCCGGAGGAGGAGGAGAGATCGGAGCATGCTGTAGATGGTGTCTCTATGAATGGGTGGAATCAGGAAATGAAGAAAGGGGAAGCAAACTTTGTCAATGGGCTGCAGACATGACTGAAATTCATATGAACAAACAAGTGGGCTTGGTTTTGGAGTTGGCCTAAAGAATTGAGGATAAACTTTCCATGACCCAGATCCATTGGATTGCACCTGGCCCATTAAAAGGTAAACCCATATTAATACCCACCCAAGCCCATACTGCTCTTCCCTTCTGGCCTCATTGCAACCCCTCTACATCCCCAATTTTCTTTCCCAAAAGCGTAGCATCGGCCTGAACCAGGCCTTCTGTCAGCGCAAAGCTACTAAGCCACACAATCAACAAAGTTTGAAGGGGACAGACCTTAGCTCAAATCACATTCATGGAGATGTCCCTTATGTAATAATATCACACAGCTGAACTTATCGGGGGAATAACTTAAGCTGAAGCATTCCATTCTCCTCAGTTTACATGAAACATCTTCTGGCATCAGAATCTGAGCCACAAAACATTATCAGGGGCAGAAAAAGGTCAGGGAGCTGCACTGCCTGAACCGGATGAAATTGGGGCACTTACTATCAGCCGTAACTGCAGAGAAGAACCGGGTAAGGCAGAGGCACGTGATCGTAGGCTGAAAATGCTGGTTTCGAAAGGAGTTGCAGGGCAGGCAATCTCAGATGCAGCGAGTTAGGGAAATTTTGTTAATGGGTGGGCTAAGATCATGATATGTAAGGAACCAGAAGAAGGGATGAAAAGGAATGTCACTAATGGGGTTGAAATCAATTTTCAGGGCTGAGGGGTGGATGTTGGGCCAGGTTAGGGGATTGGCCCGAAGTGTGGAAAAAAAAAAAAAAATTATTGGATCAGCCCCTGGAAAATAACAACCAACCTGGGGGTGGATGTTGGGCCAGGTTAGGGGATTGGCCCGAAGTGTGGAAAAAAAAAAAAAATTCATGGATCAGGCCCTGGAAAATTACAACCCAGCTGGGATTAAGATTAATACATTCAGTTCAAATTGAACTCAAATTTTGGGAGTTCCGTATGTGTGTCCAGCTGGTTATGGAATTTTTATGGATAATATCTTAAGAGTAGGTGGAACGCTAAAATACACAACCAAGAATTCACCATTCCTCACTTTGGTTTCCACCAAGCCAATCAAATCTGCCTCCCGAGAAGTCTTTCTTCATTTTGAGAGCAAGGAGCAGTTGGATACACGAACTAATAGCTGCAATAAGTTTATTCTAAAAATGGTTCAGCTATTTCGAATTCGAAATTTTAAAGTTGAACCACACTTCCACCTTGAGGACAAGGTGGATTAGAGGCGGCGGGTAATGATAGATCTCCAATTGGTTTGCAAGAGGCTGCCAAGTCATCTAATATTCTAGAATATTCCACTTAGTTAGTCAGCAAAGGGGCAAAAGGGTAATAGGAATATAGTAAAATGTCTATAAATGTGATAGGGAGAATGGGGGGATCATTCATTCAGGGAATTGTTTAGAAAAGTGGGGAGAGATCAAGGCCTCTTGAATGCCTTGGAATATGTTTAATATCATGCCTTTCATTCCAGTTAATATCAATACAATTCCTCTATTTTTACAATATACAATTCCAGTAACTCCATAGTCATCATTTTGCAGTCCCATTATAATTTCAGGGTTCTATCCCACAAATTAGTGCATAAAACTTCTCTGTTGTTCTAGCCGTTTCCTTCCAGTAACAGTAGCAGCAACCAGAAGCTTAGAAACCACAGCAATGTCAGTTTATTCTCTAGCAGCTACCAGTTCCAGCAACTAATTTTCCAAATCAGCAGCCAGAATCTGCAGTTTATCAACTATATCAGCTAGGATCCTAACATACTTTTACTTGATGACTTGTTTATGGCATGTTTGGCAAAGCTTATAATTGTTTATAGACCAGTCAAAAACTCTGATATTATGCACAAGATCCACAATTTTTACCACTTATTATCGACACATTTCATAGTACGGGGACCCACAACTTATAATTAGTTATAAGCTTTGACAAACATGCACTTAATTTTTTATTTGCTTTGTTTGGAGAAAGATTATGAAGATTTCAACAATAAATATTTTATATGAAGGTCAGATGTCCCTGTTTTCTTCATGCCTTCCCCCCCCCCCCCCCCCCCTCTTCTTTTTTTTCTTTCCTATCAATCACTTAAGTTAGAATTCTTTCCCCCACCTCTCGATCTTTTTCTCTCATACTTAATTGCAAAGGTTTGCCAAATTTTGATCGTGGAATTTCGCAGGTGGCCGCAACATGAAGAATGGGAAACATGTGGCCAGAGATCTGAATTTGGATGGATGCAAATGGCGGAACCTGTTATGAAATCATATACTGAGGCTACTGATGGATCCTGCATAGAAAGAAAAGAAAGTGCTTTAGTCTGGCATTATCAGGATTCAGACCCTGGTTTTGGTTTTTCTCAGGCAAAGGAGATGTTGGATCATTTAGAGAGTGTTTTATCCAATGAACCCGTTTCCGTGAAGAGTGGCCAGTTCATTGTAGAAGTCAAGCCTCAGGTATGTATTGCGATCTCTATTCTTAGTTTTGCTACTTCCTAACTATGCTTCTATTTCATATCAGTTGTTCCTCTTGCAATGGATGTGTTACTAGACATGAGTATGTATTCTGTATATTCCTAATATGAGTTCTATTTGTTTCATTTCTTTTGTTTCCTCGCTTATCAGTTTCGACTAACTTTTGTCCCTTAAATTAGTTTCCACTTCTTATAATGTAAAACATTGACTTTCAGTGTATATTGCTTTTATTTTTTTATAGTTGGTGTGCTTTGGTGGATAATATTTGATCTTGATTGCCTTATAATATGCCACATCAGCACAACACACTCCATTAGCAAAATGATATATTTATTTTGACTTTTCGTTTCTCCAGGGAATCAGCAAAGGCCTAGTTGTAGAAAAGATTTTCACAACAATGACACAGAAAAGGAAACAGGCTGATTTTGTGCTCTGCATTGGCGATGACAGATCGGATGAGGACATGTTTGAAATCATTGATACTGCAGTATCGAGAGGCATTCTTTCTTACAATACTGAAGTGTTTGCCTGCACAGTCGGGCAAAAACCAAGCAAAGCCAAATATTATTTGGATGACTCATCTCAGGTCATAAACATGCTCGAGTCTCTTGCTGAAGCCACTGATTCTCCAGCCTCATCTGATGAGGAAGCTGATAGCTCCTTGTAAAAATGTATTCAGGTTTATCGTTTGTTTGAATTTGTTTCGACTACCAATTGAAAATCATCCAAGTTTGGCAGGCTTACTGTATATATGTTTACATGGGTGTAAGATTTTAGGTACAAGGAAATGAGATGCATAATTTTCCTGTTTCTATTCCTTCTATCGCGTTATTCTTTAACCCCATTTTTTTTGTGCATGGAATCTGCATTCAAGTGGAGCAGAAAGAATCTTGTTAATTAACATTTTAGGTGAACCCAGAAAAAAGTGGAAGTTCGGGAGAGGTTGTCAACTGATTTCAGCTTAAGATTCAGGTATAGGAGAATCGGGTCATTTTAGTAACTCTGGACAACTTTATTCGATTGAGATGAACAATCAGCCTACGACTTTGATCTGACAGATGAAATTTTGCATAATACTGTTTTCTGAATAACCGTGTTGAGATTGGTCGAGATCAGTATCCATCCGATCAGAAACAAAGGTTTTCTGGTCTTGAGAGAGCTTGGATGCTTGAAATGATTCATCTGATGAGGGGAAGTGTAAAATTCCGTGGCAGCATCAGCATGTAGTAGGCACCATCTACATTGTGTTGCTAAACTCCCTGCTTCATGCGAAAAGGAGTGAGAGAAATGGTGTAATGTTTTGGTGAAATAATGCCTTTGACAGATGCATGCATTCTCTGTATTTTGGTGTTGGTGGTGATGGAAGGGGTTGAACAAGGGTAGTTGGAGATGGTTGGAAAAGAAAATTGCAATTATTATCATTATTATTATTTTTTATTTTTATTTTTATTTTTCAGTGGGATTCGATTTGCACTTTTGAAAAGTTTGGAATTATATTTTCAATAATTTTTAATTTTTAACATAAAGGGAGGGTAAATTTATCATTTTTTTTGATGGCATGGATGATACGCTCAACGTTTACTTGAGTTTGAGGGTAAAATTCACCAAATTGAAAGAATACGGATGCTTACACAACGTTTGCTTGTTCTGAGGATGTAATGCGTTAAAATAAGAGGATAGAGATGAAGGCAAATAATGGGTGTTTTTTTGTGTCAATTAATCTTTTGCATATCATGTATTTATTATAAACAATTCATTTAAATATACTATTAGTATTTCCATTTTTATTTTTATAAATCCATATAACTGATTAATATTATTGATTTTAGAAATTTAAATCCCCCTAATTTCCATAAATTTTACTGTCTTTATTGCACGGAGAGGGAAAGATGATCCATCTTGTTTAGAATTTCTTCACCCAAGAGTTATAATACATGTAAAGTCATGGTTGTCACATTGTTCCACATTGGTCACACGTGTCAAGAATAGATATTCAAACATGCTGCTTGTATAGAAAATTTTTGCCAGAATTTCACCAGAAAAACACTTGATAAATTTCTATTGGGCATGGCAAAAAAAAAAAAAAAAGAGAGAGAGAGACAGAGAAATAAAAGAAAAAGAAAAAGAAAAAAGGTAGACCAACCAAATGTTGCTGTGAAATTCTAACAGATCTGCTTTTGTACAAGCAGATTAATCATATATATTACACAAATCATGTATCACAATTTTTGAATTTTACTTCTTGGGATTTCACACAAGTTTTAGTTCTAAAATTAATTCACTTTCGTTCGCATTTACGTTCACTGAACAATTTCACAGTTGAGTTAGCGAAGGGATAGATGTCACATTCTTTTCTCACAAAATATTGATCACATTTGACACATTTTTTAGGATAGAATATACGAGAAACAGGATCCATTTTGTACATATTCATCACAACTTGCTACAAAAAATGAAGTCAAACATAAAAATATCATGTCAAATAGTGGAATTGACAATGGAGGTCATAATATAAATAATAATTGTTGAAGTCATAATCCCATTTTGTTCATGTATAGACACTATGGCATGCATAAGCATGGAGAAAGAATATCTTACCCAAATTTTAGGATGGAATATGGCGAGAGGGAAAATATATTTACCGACTCATTTTTTTTAATGGTCGATTACTCCCATCACATTCAAAAGCACTCTTCATTGTTATTTGAACAATATTTAAACAATAGGAGCTTGTATGAAAAATATTGTAGAGAAGTGACGTTGAGTTAGGAAAAAAATAATAATAATAATAAAATTATAACTTTTATACTTTTTAATAATCAGGCCAATAATACCAGTATTTGTGGATTGTCGAACTAGAAAATCAATTCTAGCACCATTCGCTCATTCTAGTCGACAAATCCATGAGCCAGTCCAAATTAGGTGAAGCTAGTTTCAATACGAACTTTTAACGAAATTCTTTCAGATTGAGATGATATATCTGTTTTGATACCACAAGTTATTATAGCTAAATTTAAGAACAAAATTAGTATATGATAATAATTCACTAATGTTTATATCATATAACATTATTTTTTTTAAAAGAATAAACAAATAAATAACGAGTAAATAAATAATCCATAAAGTTTGTAAATGAATAGCTTGATATTATGGATCGTCTTAGTCATAGATATGTAATTTATCAAGGTTCTAATATGCACAAGACGTGGTGAGATCAAACTACAATTTTTACACATTTTAGAATAATAAGATCAAACTATTATTTTCTTTACAAAATTTAAATAATTTCAATAAACAAATTAAACAATAGATTAACTGAAAACAAGAATCAGATTTAGAATACTAAAAGGAGTCAAATCCTAATCAAGATAAAGGTCAATACGCTGTCAATAGTTTATTATGTACAGAATCCGTTTGAAATTAGGTGTCAAACCCCACTATCACACCCAGATTTTTATCCTGATGCGCGATAAATTCTCTCAGTAGAAAATAATAATAATAATAATAATAATTAATAATAATAATAATAAAATTGCGAACCTGGCTAATGGTTTTGCCCAAACACCTCTCTTACTTACATGCTCTGTAATTCGGGTGTTTTTATCTTCAGTCCCATGTTGAACTATTATGGCACCATGCACTAACGTCCTTCCGCTAAACTCTCTTCCACCACCCAACTCATGCACTTACTTTCTCTATCTAAACAATCTTTCCCAGTGCCATTTTTTCTTGTCATCGACCAAATAGAGTTTCTCTTTTGTCAGCAAGAAGCAAGATTTTTTCATTCTTGAAATCAAATATTGTTCTTGAGTTTTCCTTCTTCTTGTCGTTGAAGTGACGAGTTGGTTTTTCTTATCATGGATAACCGGGCTGCTCAAAATACGTGAGTCTATACACCGGTGTTTGCCATTATTTTCCTTTCAAAGAAATTCTTGAATTTCTTGAAGAAATTCAAGAAGTCATTAATACTTTGTTAATGTTTTCTTGAGGAAATTCTTGAATTTCTTGATGGTTGGATCATGTCTTCTTGAAGAAAATCTTGAATGTCTTCTAGGTTTTTTATCTTCAATTTCTGTCTAAAGAAACATTAATTTTTGTGCTTATTCTTTTTTTAATTTCCGCTAAACTCTCTTCCACCACCCAACTCATGCACTTACTTTCTCTATCTAAACAATCTTTCCCAGTGCCATTTTTTCTTGTTATCGACCAAATAGAGTTTCTCTTTTGTTAGCAAGAAGCAAGATTTTTTCATTCTTGAAATCAAATATTGTTCTTGAATTTTCCTCCTTCTTGTCGTTGAAGTGACGAGTTGGTTTTTCTTATCATGGGTAACCGGGCTGCTCAAAATACGTGAGTCTATACACCGATGTTTGCCGTTATTTTCCTTTCAAAGAAATTCTTGAATTTCTTGAAGAAATTTTTGAAGTCATTAATACTTTGTTAATGTTTTCTTGAGGAAATTCTTGAATTTCTTGATGGTTGGATCATGTCTTCTTGAAGAAAATCTTGAATGTCTTCTAGGTTTTTTATCTTCAATTTCTGTCTAAAGATACGTTAATTTTTGTGCTTATTCTTTTTTTAATTTGAGTTTGCAGGCTTGACTTGTATATTCATGATTACATGGTCAGGAACAACATGCACACAAGTGCAGATATCTTCGCTAGGGAGGCTGAAGTTATTCCAAATGTTCATGGTATATAAACTCTCTTGGCCATCTTTTCTGCACTATTGTCATTTTAATTGAAATTTGTGTTTCCACTCCAAAATATATTATCTCGCTCTCTTGATTTGAGTTTTTATTTTTATTTTATTTTATTTTATGGGATTTATGCCAAATTTTCTAATCAATTGGAAACTATTGATGTCTCTTTGTTGCATTGATTGTCAAGTAATTACATGTATATCTAGCCAAAAAGCACTAATTATAAAAAAAAGCTCTTAATTGCTTTTCCAGCCACGTTATTTATGGCTTTATTAATAGAATAAGCATGCTCTATTAAAATAATTTACGGTGTCAAAGCACTAATAAGTTGCCCTACCCTAATTTCAAATCATGTTTTTTGGTTTTATCCTGTCATAATTTTGAGTGATTTCATTTGATTTTTCTCAGCAATCAATCCTCGGAAAGAACTTTTAACAGATTGGTGGTCCTTATTTTTGGATGTATACAACGCTAGAGCTGAAGCTGCGAGGCATTCTCAGACTCGAGGAGCGTCCTCATCTAAGGTGTCATCCATCAAGTGTTTCTTTTAAGTCATATCACTTTTCTGTACAAGAGATTGTGCATTCAAGATTTGTCCGTTCGATAAATTAGTGCATGAATTTATATTTCGCTAATAAAATATATTCACACAGTTTAATCCATATATAACCTTAAATTCCAACATTGTCTCTTTAATTAGCAGGATACTCAGACAACAGTAAATGTGCCATGGCATAATCCTATATTGACAAGGCCGGATTTTGGTCATATGCAGCACGGGTGTATTAATGGTAAATCTCTCTCTCGTTTTCCCTTTTTTTTTTTTTTTTTTTTTTCAATAACTTCATCAAAGTGGACATACAACCTTTTCTGTCTTTCGAATTTATATCATTCTTATGGTTCGTGTAGCTTCTTATATATAATTGATTTTAAGTTTATTTTGTCTTTCATTTCAGAAGGTAACAAAGTCAAACAAATTCCACCAGAAGAATTGCCTTCAACTGTAAGTGACACGACCAGTCCCGAATCAACCTAATCGACTAGGAACGTGACGTGCGTCGATGATAGATGCTAACTAAATTTTAGATCTACCACCAAGGCTGACTATGACTTAGTACAAAATATGCGCCAAAATCAAATGTTATGTAAAATATAATGAGATGTGTCCAAATTATTTACTTTATGCCTTATCAATATGAGTTTATAACACTCAATATGTCGTGTGGCTCTCATTCCAAAATCATTAGGCTCTTCCAGCTAAAAGAATCAATTGCTACCTGTAAGAAAATTACGGAAAAATATATGAGTTTATAGCTTGGTGAGTGGAAGAGTTCAAAAATAATTATACTTTCTCTTTTAAACATTTTTACCAAACATTCAGTTCATATCGTTTAATATTCACATGATAGACTCATACAATTATAGCAAAAAGTAAGTCATTCTTATAACACTGTAAATATCATTTCATAATCACAATATAGTTATCAGCTCATATCTATACCATCATCTCATCACATCACATGTGATCCACCAAAAATATACCTTCTGATTGAAATTTGTAATCCGCCCCTTGGGCTAAGCATTTTCGCCACAGGCTTTGGCCTCGTCCGTAAACAAAAGTCAGTCTCAAAACCTCTGGCAATCAATTCTAGAACACGGTTAAGGCCCCTCTGTGAACTATATATACACGATCGAGACCAATATCCTGTCAAGACCTTCTGTGTAGGATAGAAGACGGTCAATGCCCCTCTATGAACTAGAAGAATTACATAATCACATGTACTTTTCTGATCAATCTCAATATCACGTCTCACATACCAAATAAATCTCAATATCACATTACTCATATACCAAGTCACAAACGTACAATAAATAATTCTTAAAATTTCACATATATCATAATAAAAGAGATTTTCACAATAATCATATAATCGAACATATAATTGCACATACTTTAACAATATACTTAATTTATAAATACTTTAAAAATATTTATATTTTTCCACTCACAATACTATGTTCGCAAAATCAACCCGATTGGTAAACTGTTCTGATATTAGTATTGTCACCTAAATACGATATAATTTTTAAATAAACAATTAATTATTTTAAATAATTTCAATAATTAAATAGGCGATACACAAACTTAATCATTTCACGTTTAAGTGATTTCTAAAGTCTCTTTAATCACTAAAACTAATTTTTCTTTCATCTTACTCAATTTCATAGTTTATTATACTTAACATCTTCAATAAAATTGAATTTAATCTAACAACTATAAAATCAAATATAACTTGACAATAAGTAACGTTTTACTTACCTTTCAAAATTGAGAAATTCAAGCCTAATAATGTAAACCACTTATTTTCTAACAACATAGGTGAACTTTCCTTTTTTTTCTTCCTCCTCTCCTTTTTTTTATCCCTTCTTTTTCATTTCTCTTTTCTCTCTGCCTCGTTTCTTTCTAGTGTGTAGTGTGTGTGTTTGTTTTTAATTTGATTTTGGGTGGAATTCCACCACCGCATGTTATTCTTTTTCTTTTTTTTTAAGTTTGACATTTTTTTTGGTTAATTTCACAAACGGACATTGAACTTATAAAAAAATTACAAAACGGTCACTGAAGTTTAAAACTTTCAGTAACGGTCACTTAAGTATTGGGACGCTTTAAAAAACGGTCACTGAAGTTTAAAAAGTTACTGAAACAGTCACTGAAATTGAAAAATATTTTTTTAGTTTTTTTGGTTACATTTGCAGCAATTTTTCGGCTACTTCCAACCACCGATACTATCGAATTTTGATACCGTTGAAAAGCCCACAACGTCATCTTCAATTACCACTCAAAACCTCTCCATAACACCAAGGAATTCGACCGGAAAATCACCGCAAAAGCTCACAATTTTTCACCGACTTTCGACCACGAAGACCGTCGGATTTTGATACCATTGGAAAGCTCACAATGTTCTCTTCAATTACCATCCAAAATCTCCCACAAACTCCAAAGGATTCGATCGGAATAAACCTGCAAAGTCGGCATCCCAAAAAGGCGAAAATCTGGGATGCCAACTTTGTGGGTTTATTCCGGCTGAATCTTTTGGAGTTTTGGGGAGATTTTGGATGCTAATTAAACAGGACATTGTGGGCTTTCCAACGGTATCAAATTTTGGGTGTTTTGATGGTCGAAAATTGTCAAAAAATCGCCGCAAAAGTCCACCAAAAATCTGAAAATTTGGACAAATTTTTGCTTTTTCGGGTAGCCAACTTTGTGGATTTATTCCGGCCGAATCCTTTGGAGTTTGTGGGAGATTTTTTGTTGTAATTGAAGAGGACATTGTAGGCTTTCCAACGGTATCAAAATCCAGTGGTATTGGTGGTCGGAAGTAGTCGAAAAATTGTCGCAAAAGTAGCTCAAAAAATTTTAAACTTTAGTGACCATTTTTGAAAGCGTCCCAATACTTAAGTGACCGTTACTAAAAGTTTTAAACTTTAGTGACCGTTTTGTAATTTTTCTGTAAGTTCAATGACCGTTTGTGAAATTAATCCTTTTTTTTTTTTTTAATGTATTACAGTAAGTGCATGCAATTTTCACATATCAAGAAATTACAGTGGTAGCTTTTTTTTCTTTTCTCAAAGTTTTTCATTTCTAACTTTAATACTCACTTCAATGTTCTCAAATCATTGGCAGCAGTTTTCAACTATTGAAGTCATTTCCATATTTTCTTAATATCATAATGTCTTTTAGTTTATTATTAAGTTATTTCCTTAGCAATATGATTGTGTTATAGTATATAATCCTTCCTTTTATAGCTATTCATAACCACCTATAAATAGGGTTGTTTCCTTTGTAATATATGCCTTGTTTCTTTCTCATTACATTCGGTTCATATATATTATAATATGGTACCAGACCATCTTATATCGGGATGAACAATCTTCACTTCAATTCTATGGCGAGCAGCCTGTTGAGAATTTACTTATTCATGCATAGCAAAAAATAAAATAATTTTAATTCCTATCAAGAATCTACTTTGTATTTAGATATAATCCGTAGTAGGAATTATACATTTTGTAGATTCTGCAAACTCCTTTGTTGATCTTGTAACATGAACAATCACGATCTGTAATCCACAGCTGTCTAATCGTCTTACCTCCAATGAAAATCCATACAGAAAACAAGAATGAGAGAAATAGGGTTTCCCTCTTCTTGTGCTAATAAGAATAATTATGTTCAAACCCTACCAACCTATTAATATGACTGATTTAATATTCAGATATGTGTAATTTGTATATCACAACTCCTTGTGATTAATAAATTATCAAAACTTGAATCCATGGATTCTATTATAATATATTAAAATATTAATTAAATTAAAAAATAGATCTGCCACGAATGAAATGCATCCATTATATATTAAAAGTTTATGTCCAAAGTTGATTGGACCTAGAGCATAACACTTACACAACCTTGTGTCTTGTGCCGGTTGTCCGACCTTTTTGTTCCTTTTCTTTATCTCGTCTTGTTAACTATTTTTTTCTTCTCAGTGTATTTGAGATTTGTCTTTCCGTGGTGGTGGGGCTGCCTCCTCCGTCCCATTTATTTCCAGTTAATGCTGCACAAATTGCCAAAGTTTGGCCTCAGTCATAGTCTTTTCACAATCAATTTATTATCTATCACCTGGTTGTTCACATTCTTTTCAAATATTTTGTCATCTACCAGTTCTTATAAGATCTTATATTTTCTAAGTTTTTATATCCTTTATCAATCAGTTTACAAACTTATTAGTAATATAGTAATAATGTGGAATATCATAACGATTATTATTATGTTATTCCATGATTGTGTTATATATTATAGGATCTTTCCCTCTTTAGCTGTTTATAACACTCTAAATAGAGTGGTCCCTTCGTAATTCTTAGACCCAAAGATTATATAATTTTTCTCATATTACGTTCACTAGTTCTCTCGTAACTACCTTTACTTCACAATTCTTAACAAGATAGATAAATATGAGCTCAACAGGCATTTATTCATTCAAATTTCAAATCTGCCAGAGTGTAATTTTAGTTGAAAGAATTACTTTTTCAATTTATTGATATGATTTTAACATATCAAAATGTCTTGCCTGAATAAATATGTTCCCTAAAATCGCCATTTGATCTCATTTATATGATTGGACAATGGTTAATTCTTAAGATGCAATCTTCAGTTGTTATACAAGTTGTATAAAGGAGTGTATCTTGGTTGAGTCGAGGATAGAGAAACAATCAATCATTCTCAAGCTCTTTTTGTGATACTATGCTCTTTCTCTTTTCCAGAACAAGGGGATTTAAGCATGATGGTGTCTTATAAGTTGAGACATAGGAGTTGCTTGGATCTGTATATAAAAGCTCTTCAAATTGTATCAACAGATTTCCGGGCCTTTTTCTGGATACATATTATTTTGGTTGCAGACATTTTCACTTTTAATAAATGTCTTCTTCTTACTCCATCTTTTCTGTGAGCTGTAGACTGGAAAGAATGTCATGGAGGAAGAACCCTTCGATGTCGACTGCTTTTTCAGTGATGCTCCAGATGACATGAGCACTTTGCCACATAGTTCTCCAGCACCTGATAAAACTGAACAAAAAGGCAAGTTGTATAGTTTAATTTTATTTTTAAATTATTCAATAATTTTAACCTTGGAAAGACTCTTTAACATTTGGAATGGATCTATTAAGGGATGATGAAGAAAAGGGACAATGCATGTTCCATTTCTTTATTTCATTAACAATGTAAGAATTTGGTGAAGTGACTGCTAAATTGGGAAAGTTGAAGACTCGAAGAGTCATCTTGTTGATCTAGTTCCCTACTATTGCGTATTGAATTCTAAAGTTCTATACATAACTAAGATGATGGAAAATTTTGAGGATTTTTTTTTTTTTTTTTATCATGAGCAATGGCGAGGTACAAATCCCATCATACCCAACATAAATACTTAAACGAACAATTTCATCAGGTGTTTGGCCCCCATTAAAATTATAATTCATGTCTCTTTCTACTTATCAATCACACATTCTTCAATGAAATAATATTACACGTAATATCAAAACCTCTTCTTCTTTTTAAAAAAATATTATTCCAACCATA